CAGAATTAAGTTTGATGATTTAAAGTCATTAACAATGACTAATTATTTGATAAAGAATATTGGTTTAAAATAATTTTTAATTCTGAGAAATATAATAGAGTATCTAGTGATTCATATATCTTAAGATTGGATTGACCTCAGATGATTTTTCAGATATAAAAATAAATTTTATTCGAGTGTACTGATTTAATTATCAAAGTTAAAGACAGTTCTAGTCAGATAAGAAACTGATCACTATGAAAATACTCTTTTTCATTTTACTGTAATGTTTTTATTTTGTTATTATTGACTCCATCTATCTAAACATGTTTGGTGTTTCTTTTATGAACATTTATACACTGTTATAAACAAATCTTTTTTTATTTCTGTTTTGTTAGTTTTTATTATTAATTATTTTATTGTTTTAATTGTTGTTAGACAATTATTGTTTATTCATTCTCTATTCTTTTCATTTGATGTAAATAAAATTCTTTCATTTATAATAAACAATCCTCTTTATAAATACATTCTTTTATATTTATGGTTATGAATAATATTATTACAAACATTATTTATTCTTTTCTATATTTTCTATCATTTTCTATTTAATTAAAATACTACATCTGTATCTCTATTAATTTCTTCTTTGTGTTGATATCTGTATTATTTTTTATTACTTATTTTTACAATTATTTCTCTTTAATATTTGTTGTAGTTTTCTATTTACTTTTTATTTTTTTTTTAAAAATTCAATGTTTTTGTATTAATTAAACAATACTCCTTACGTTTAATAAAATATAAAACAAGTCCATTTATAAGATTATGAAGATATAATCAATTTTATAAGTGTTCAAATACTAATAATATTTTATATTTTAATAAAAAACTGATTGAGTATTACAATAAACTCAACAACAAACAAATATCAATAATATTATAGTAGATACATTAAAATAGAAATTTCATAATAACACTACTTATAAAAGATGTGAAAATGAAAAATACTATCAAAATGATATTACTATTATTCAAAAATAATAACAATAATATAACAAGAAATAAATTAAATATAAATAAATAAAATAATAAATTCAAAATAATTGAATAATATAAAATGAAATAATAAAATAGAAATGAAAAATAAAAGAATTAAAACATATAATGTATTCTAATGAAATAGAAATAATAAACAATATGAATGAATCATAAAATTAAAATTGGTATTGAAATCAAATGGTAATAAATAAAAGAAATAAACAAAGAAGTATTTTATTATATAATAAATAAATAGAAATGAAATAAATAATAAAGATAGAAATAAAGAATGAAAATAATAAGAAAATAACTAGAAATGAATGAATTGAAGAATAAAATAGAATTAAATTAATTATTGTTATAAAAATGATTAAAATAAAAGAGTTAAAATATAAATTAATATTTTTATGATTGATAAAATTTATTTGTATATATATTAATTAAATATTTATAATCATTTTATCACTTATTCATTATTTATCATATAATTTAATTAAATTAAGAAATAAAATGAAAATAATGATAATATTTTATTGAATAATTTAATGATATAAATAATTAAATAATTAATATTTTGGATGTGATAATTTATAGAATGAATTATAATTTACATTTAATTGTTATTAATTCTACAATATATTTAATTCGTTCTGAAATAACTTTTTGACAACATTCTTCATTTCTAATTCCATTTATTTCTTCTAATTGATATTGAATAATTGGATTATGATATATTTCTTTCTTATTACATATTCATATTTCTTTATCATTGAAATAATTATTAAATCACTCTCAACACTCCACCCACATTTCTTTGTTTCTTCTTGATATTCTTTTTCATTGATAATTTTTCCTTTTTTTAATTCATTGATATCCTTCTTTAATAATTGTATGTTTTGTTTTCTTGATAATTTGGTGTGTTTGAATATTGTGTTTCAATTTCTTCCTTTATCCTTTCTTCTTCTCTCATCACAACATCTCCGCATTGTTTTGTGTCCTTCAATTCTTTCTTCATATTTATTTTTATTATTTTACTTCTATAATAATTTCGTTTGGTATGCTTTAAAAACATAATCTTTAATGTTATGTATGATATCGAAGTATAAATAATAAAGAAATAAATAGTTTGTATTATTGAATTAGTTTATTAGATAAAGTAATAACATGAAATAACAATATAAAATCTTTTTAAATTTAATATATTTCAATGATGTAATAATGAAATAATCATAAGCGCAGTATTACCTTTTGAATATTATGATAAGTGTTTGTACTATTTAAGTATTATTAATGACATCTCTGTCTTATTCATTTAACATTATTTGTTATTTAAATCATATTTTAAATAAGAAGTTTTATTTTCTTTTCATAATATCATTCTTTCTATTGTTTATCTATTTTTATATTATTCATCTTTCTATTTATTCTTGATTCTATTGAAATTACTTATAAACACATTTAAATTATCATTGTGTTTCATGTTTTAATATTTGAAATTCAATAAATATGTTAATATTATATTTGTTAATGTGTTCTAATTATCTTAAATATGAATTAAAATAACTTGGTATTTAATTATTGTTTAATTATTCAATTATTATGATCTAATCCACACTATTAATCAAATTAATTAATAAATGTTAACAAGTAATAAACTTATATTTATTGAATATGTTTATTTATTAATCGTTATTATTTTATGACTTCTCAACTAATTACTTTCAAATTTTATCTCTTTATTATTTCTTTATACTTTCTAATTATTGGTTTCATATGATTTCATGTTTTACAATGATTTCTTATTATTCATTATAAAATAAACAATTGTAACTGATAAAAAATAATCATTTCTTATTATATTTTTTAATCTAATGCTATATCTCTATTTTCTATTGTCCATCCTGGATGTTCTGAAACTCTTCTCCTGACTTTTGCAGGATTTCCAACAGCAATCATATTATCTGGAACGTCATGTGTAACTACACTTCCTGATCCAACAACCGCATTTTCTCCAATA